GGCTTGAATCAAACTTGGGGGGGGGGGGGCTGTTTCCCCCCCCCCCCCCCCCCCCCCCCCCCCCCCCCCCGTGGGGGGGGGGGGGGCTGTTTCCCCCCCCCCCCCCCTTCGCTACGCCACTGGGCGAAGTCACTATAAGAGTGACCCTTCCACTTTCGCTTTATCAAACGCTAGAAGCTCGAACGGATCCAAGGGGAAACACGCGATGACGATTGGCAAATTCTGACATTTCTCGATTCTGTATTCTTCAATACCTTTCAAATTCCCCTGGCCTCAGTACAGTGCAGATTCGGATGCATAGATCTTGAAGAGAATAGCAACTCCTCTGAGACGGAGCCAAGGAATTTGGCTCATTTAGCAACCATCTCCTAGTGGGTGGAGTGGGACATCTACAAGAATGCCTTGGGGAACTTATCACACGAGTTTGCTCCAAATCCAGTGGTGGCGCTCCTGATCTGTAGCAGAAGTTGCTCATCGATTGAGACAGGTTAGGCCTGGGTCTACCCCGCCTCCATTGATGAGTTACGATTGTTACAGATCATGAGTCGCCAGTCATGATCGAAGACGCCATGACTGTAAGGTGACCAGATTTCTGCGTCGAGAAAGTGGGACGCCCAATAAATACTTCCCCTTGCCTCTCGAAAAAGAATATGAATGTATTTGTTGGGCCGACAATTGTATTTATTATTGCCAAACATGAAATAGAGCTGCTATTTAATTGTGCATCCACAGTAGCGCAACCAGCCCTAAAGAGGGAGTTTCAGGAAAGTTTGTATAACTTGTCTTTCAAATGTCTCCGGATGCAAGAAGGCGTTATCAAATCAGCAGAAGAGGAAAATGCGAAACGACGTCGAACACGCGAACATAGAAAATGAAACGAAAAAATTTCATGAAATGGTGGAAACAGAATTTAAACAATAAATAATACAAGCGCATTCGATATTCGAAGCAAAGCTAAAGATGAACAGAGTTAATTTCGAGATTCAGCCCAGATTTTACTGCGCAGGCATGCAACTGGAAATTCGTTAACCTATTCGTTATTCGTGACTTTCATCCGAGTCGTGGTCCTTCCATTTTCAGAAAAAAATGTCAGCAGAATCACATGTGCAAAACGCTTCCGTGACATTTTCACTATACTGCAGGGGTTTTGGGCACATTTTTGGCAAGGGGGAGGCCCAGCCTCGTCAAAAATTCTCAGGAGTCACTTTCCCATGCAATTTGAAAACATCTATTAAGATATCAAATATCTGAAAGAAATCTCTGAGAACCATTAAATTCATTCTCAATCGACGCAAAACGAGTCGAGTCCAGTCTCTGAAAGTTGACACCTGTCCGAAATCGCGGATGGGAAGTCAGAGCCTGGAGGCTTCCCCTGACTCAGAGACAACTATGAGGTATAAAGGTATCACTTTGTTCATGCAATATGAAAGTAAACGATGGGAGTAAGGCCGGCCTCGCCGTCTTCAGTGCGCACGAGCAGGTGCCTGCTAACAAAAACTAGCATGTTTTTAGGCTCATTAGCTGTTCGGTAATCCGAATTCCCATTGCCAATTTATATCTAAGCAGTTGCCATAGATAAAAAAACTCAAGATATGCTATTCATAATCATGATATTCCATTATATTCTTGGTTTAGCTCCTAAGCAATATGTTTAGGAGAAGTTCTGAAACTCGCAAGGCAAGAAATTCAACCGTCGTATCATTCTGTCATCGACATTTTCCAAAAGCGGGACATTTGGGCGTCCCGCTTACTTCATCGGGGGACACCGGGACATGTGGTCTGAAAGTGGGACTGTCCCGCCTAAATCGGGACGTCTGGTCACCTTACATGACTGCCTTTGCGATTCTAGTGAACGGATCGGCCACAGTAAGTCAGAACGAGTAGGAGTTCGGCCCCGGTGAAAGAGATGTCATCACACCATCCGATTTGCATCGTGAACAAGCTCAAATTAACAATTCAATTGGGGGAGCCATTATAGACTCTTATCGACAGGATCGGTTCTTGGAATCGAGACCGAATCGAGCCTGCAACTCAAATGAACTCGATTCTGAAAATATTGGATAGCATGAAGGAAACAGATGACAGGAAAATCCTTCACAATGCCTGCGGACAAGTGACATGCTACCTCCATGGTCGGCATTTTATCGATCCCCATGATAGGAAAGAGATTGATCCTCAACTTCTCTGCAGTAAGCCATTTTGTTTTCATAGGGCTCCGGATTTACCCAATAGGTGGGTCTCTTTCTTTTTCTCTTTATACTGAGTGCCTTGCTCGAGTGAGGCCCATTTACATGCACAAATCTTTAGGAAATATTGATATGAAATTAAATAACTTTCCGACGGATAAACCTAGTTCTTGTCGAGGTATACAAAGTGGCATGCAGTAATGTCATTTATGACATTACTAGTCCGACGGTCCGTTCGCTCATGCGTATAAGTTAGTAGGGGAATATGTTTTCTTTCAGAACACCAGCAGGAGGTGACCGGGAAAGGAGATTTCCAAAGCTAGGGAAACCTGCCCCGTTCTGGTTAGAGTCTGGAGATCCTATCACCAGGAGAATCTCATGCTTATACGCGATGAGCCGATTAGTGAAATCAGTCTCAAAATATTTACATTTCTGAGCTAACAGAAAAATAAATAACTCATTCAAAGGATTCATGAACTAGAAAAGCAAGAAACAAGGAGAACGCAGAGAAAAGCAAAAACCAGGTTATACGAACAGAGTTATTTTCATAGATAATTAATTTGAAACATTGGATACACCAAAGACGATGGTAACAGAATTGAAGTAAAATGAGATGGGGAAAAAAAACGGCACGAGCAAGGCATCGCGGTTCCTTAGAGTAGGCTTCCACGAAGTCAGGCCTCCATACGGACTGAGACCCTCGATCGGAAACAGTCTTGTCCGTGTTCCATGCTCCTCTTTTGTAATCCTCCTATCTACTGGATTTTATTCTCTCCGTTTCCGCTTTTACGACTCCTAGTTCCATACAGCTAGGCCTTTCGGAGGGATCGTGGCAATAAATATGGATTGCCAAACGCATTGTCTGGAGGGTTGGAGGGGCGTTTCGGCATTTTTTGGCATGGGGCCAGGGGTGGGGGGGGGGAGGGGAAATGGATACGGACACAGACTGACCTCAAGCCCAATTAAGCCTGCCCCTTCCAGCGTAAAAATAATATAATAAAAAAAACTAGATACGGAATGCATAAAACACCTTGTTACGAAATCACCCAATTCTCTAGGCCGTGAGACATCCGGTTTGCGACGTAACTGAGGTGGATCTTAGAGGAAAACGCCTATAAAACTCGAAAAAAAGCTACTCTCGCGAAGACGCGGAAATAGCTTTTACCCACACATGGATTTGTGCAGGCGCATTTCGAACAAAAAAGCTGCTGTGGTGCAACCATGAGATATGAGACACAATTCAAGAGAAACTCGAATATCCAAGCCAAAGTAAGGGACGGTTTCCCAAGGCTATCCATCCAGTATGGAGGCCAGTAATCGAAATCTCACGAGACCAGTAGGTTTTCCCATAACGGTGTTTCATAAGAAGTGCACAATTTTTCTTCGGTTGAAGTGGGGACTGACAAGAGACCTAAACCAAACCAGTGTGGCGACAGTAGTCCCATTTCATCGAACTGGAATCAAATTGCGGTAAAACTCGTGTTTAATCAACGTTTTTCCTCAGGTGCGTGGTCATAATGAGAAAGACGTCGTGCCAGTGAATAAACGACGATAAGTCCACGCTCAACTGGAATTACTGGAACTGGAACTAAGTCCACGCTCTTTCGCGATGCTATGTGAAGCTCATCAAGGAGACAGTGTTTTTGATACTAAATAGTACTGTTTTCCGGTGATTAATAACATTTCGGCAGATTGCGGGATCGGAAAATCCTTTGAAGTACAAGCCTCACATTTCCATGCGTGAGGAATACTGTAGGAGGAACGAAGAGAAAGAAAGGGGATCCGGGGCCACGCCCACAGGAAAGGAAGGTCAGTGAGTCCCGAGCTTGTGTGTGCAGTGCAGGCACGCAATTGAAGGCTTTTACATCCTTGCCTGCTCAGATCCGGATCTACCAGGCCGAATCAAGGTCGCACTCACCTCCCAGCAGGGCGTGGACACCTTCGGGGGCATAGCACGTACAGGAGAATAATATGGTCCCAAACCTCCTCCCAATCCATTCCTCTCCTTCCCCTCCCTCCCTCTCTTAGTGTTAATTATCTTCATGGTCAGGGGTTTCATGCCAAATGCTCTCATGTCGAGGGGCACGGTCACGACAACGCCATCGGCTTTTCTTTTAAATGTCACATTTTCTTACTTCTGAGTTTACAACTCCAGATCAACAACGACCAAGTCGGTCGTTCTATGACTAGGACAACTCAACCTATCACTTTGCGTGAGACCATAATTTATTCGCTTTTCCCTCCTTGAAATTGCAGTCTCCAAGAATATCAACACAGTTCTATGGATACCTCCAGACTAACGACTTCTCGACATATTATCCAGCCTTATGGCTTTACGTGGCAAAAGATTCGTAGTTTAACCGGGAAAACGCGTGCGTTATGACAACTACTGTAATTATAAAGGCAACAGAATGTCATGTCAGACGGAGAAAGAATGCCCGTGCGAAAAAGGCCCTGAAGGTCAGGGGAAGGTAGTAGGAAACCACTTATGATGTTAACGAGAGATAAAAGGAAAAAAAGAGAAGCAGATAGATAACCTGTCTGGTTTTTCAAGTTCTCCAATATATTTTTTTTTTGCATAAAAAAAACCTGGGAGGATTACTGTAACAACCGGCAATGCCAGCCTCTCATATCACAGCTATACCAGTTCAAGTGGACCAGCGCAAATGCAATGGTCCTGTAATAACACTTCTTAATCATTTCACTCTTTCACTCAAACTTCATGCAAAAAAAGGAGAGGAAACATGAAGGAAATGAAGAGAACTGAGAAGAGGCTCACACAGGAGAGAAAACAAAGATACCCAGATAGCTTACCCGTAACTCCACAACAGCACTCAGGCAATCCAGTGAAAGAAGAGAGAGAAGATCTGGATCCACTGGTCCTTTCATGATCAGAGTCTGGCTGTTCCGCCTCCGTTGCAGGGGTTCGTAGCCCATCAAATAAAACATGTCCTCGCCGGATATCAGGATGTTTGTCACATTGTGCTTCACATATCCACTGTACAGCTGCAATCAGAGATCAGTGCAATATTAGATGTTCACCAATCAGTTCAAATGCAGTACTAACACAAAAGAAAAGGAATTAATAATTTCCAAACTCGAAATGATGCCATACCTGACTATTTCAGTGGTATCATTTCTATGCTCTTACCAATTCATACAGGACAATAGCAGAAAAGTTACTAATGTTCTTAGCAACCAGTTCCTCCTGCATCTGAAATCATAGATGATGCTGCCACAGCTCAGAGTCTTGATTTAAATAAATAGATTGGGCAAGCAGTGGATACATGAAATGATGAAGACCCCAATTATAGCATGCAGAGAGGAAGTGACCTCTGTCTGGCTTAGGCTTCACACCTACATATGGTACCCCTCATGCAGAGACCTATGGAAGACCTTATGAGAACCTTACATATTGCCAAGGCTCTTCAGTGGCAGGAGCAATTTTTTAAGTGTGTAGCACCTAGATCTCTTAGTTGTGGCACACATAATTGTGCGTTATCACAATTCTAGCCAGTTACTCCCCAGCAAGCAGGTGTGTTACCAGTCACCCAAGAAGTGCTTATCACCACTTGGACTCAATCTTCCTGTTTCCCAGGTTTGAGTTGAAAGTCCTAACTGCTAGGACACTGGATTCAGAAATGTTTTCATATTGTGTGGTGATTGCAGATGGGAATACTGAATAACTTTTGGAAGATAGGCCTTCATCCTATTTGAGTTATACATACATGTTCTAGTATTCAATAACCTTGGAGTGACTTTAAGCTTTATTTTTTTTTGGGTTCCTGAAAAGTTGTTTATGCAAGCCTACTTTGCTATGGGTGATTGTTAGGTAATTACTTCTATAAACTTCAAAATCAAAGTGGTGTATAATAGCAGGATATTGATATCCTCTACTTTTACTCAAATTGATCTCTTTGTTATCCAGTTGAGTGTCAGGGTCAGAATTAGAAAATTATTACAATCAATGCATAGGAAAATGCTTTTGATGGAATGGCCAGAAAAAAATATATCAAGATAATTTTCTACTATTTCCTATTTCAAAGTGTCTTAATTTGTGATTTAATGTAGGTCTATAACAAATATAATGGAGAGCCACACAATTATTTTGCTGCAAATTTATTCTTGCCAAGCAGACTCCTCAATATCAAGAACAGTACTACAAATGACTTCCTGGTCTGGACCCTTACCAACTTCTAGACTCAATTATTTTCAAATTAGTAAAATAATACCATATGAGCAAATGATTGGTCGACTGATTCCCATGAAATGGCCATGCAGGTAGGCATGGAAGCATGGCCACCCTGAAATAAAAATCAACACCCACCTCTTTTCTTCCCCCAAATCCCAGGTCAGACCTTCTGCAAGGTACTAGTTCTAAGTGCAATCTATGTTTAGTGATGTATTGCATGAAAGGGTAGGGGGAGCAGCTCCTCCCTTTAGCAGCTGTTAACAGTTCTTAGTGCCCCCTCTAAGATATTTTTCATATGCTGAATACCCTGGTGCAGACATTGACATATGTTCCTCCAATTCCCTTCTTTTAATGGCACATTAGAATGGTATCCAATACATGCAATATCAGTGATTTAAGTAAAGGTGCTTTTATATTCCTGGAAGTTCCATATCTCAGTTATATTACTGCAAGGATTAGAGGTTTTTTGGTTGATAAAATTGGAAGACTGTTCCAGAAAAAACCAGTAATGATTTCACATTTTAGTGTCATGTAAAGGGCAAAGCCAGTGGCATGTTTTTCCTCATGTGCCAAGGGGGCAGGGTAATGGAAAGGTGGTATAAGTGGTATTTGGTGGTGGTATTTTGCCTTGCAAACCTTATGCAAGGCAAAATGGAATGGTTTCAATGTCCTATCTCCTCATCAATGATGTGATTAATTATTATATTGACAGTAAGTGAAATACATGAGTTTCATGGATTACCTTCAGCACCAAGAAAGGAAACCTTAAGAAATCTTAAGTCCTTTTGTCATTTTGCACACCAGGTTAACCATAGAGTTTGAACAAAATAGCCATGAAGAATCATTTAGATCCAGAGTTTTTTCTATTTCTATTTCCTGTATGGAAATAAAATTATGATTTGAAGCTGTCTTTTCTTCTAATAACTCCATATGTAGGTATAGGTGAACTTAATTGCAGGTGCAATATGATGAATATTAGCTTTAATTATGTCCTCCTTCACTATGAACAAAAATACATTCAGGATTCATAGTTTATGGAATTCTGAGAGATTGAGGCTCTACGATACTATGTTGAACTTCTACACACCACAGGAGTCTGCTTCTGGGGCTCCTGTAAATTCTCTACCCTGATTTTGCATCGCAGAAAGGTCAAAATGCAAGTTACAATACACTGTCATTGAAACCCTGCTGCTATGGACTGCACATGTATTCTCATGTGTTAATTTATTTGAAAAACACCAATGCAGCCTATTTCCTTCAATTAGTGAGTGAATTAGTGGGTTTTTCTTGGTGCCACCTTTCCACAACCCTTCCCTCTTGGCACAAGCAGAAAAATATGCCACTGGCTTTGCCTATCAAATAGATGGAAAGAATATTCATAGGATGATAGACTTAGGTAACTTTAACAGATGGATTGCAAATTCAACCTTGAACTCCATTGCAAAAAAGCACAATTTTGCACACATTTGGAGCAAGGACTGAACAATTATCATGCTTAAGGCCTAACGACCTAGGCTAACTCTAGGCATAGGACACAGTCAAAGCATTGCCTATGTCTTTATTTTAAATTATCGTATGTTGCTTACTCGCAATGTTTGGTACTCTTTCCTCCAAGGTTGCGAGAGAAGGTTCATGCAGTACTTCGCAAGAGCATCCCACGCTCTGATGCTGCGAGATGCCCTGCATTCAGGATTCTCAACGTCTACTTGAAAAATGGCACTGACTTTCGGAAATTGGAATTTCCTTTTATGGGGAAGGTGAGACAAGAGTAATTCGAGGCTGTGTTCAAGGTCTCGTTTCGCTGTCACCTTTTCAGTGCCCGTGGATTCGTCATGGGATACGAACATTAAGAAATATTCATCCACTCTCGATCGCAATTCCACTTCTTCGTTCATGAGGAATCACGAATTTAAATTATTGACGAAATGTACCAAGGACGAGTTCAACGATCGTCGGAAAAACGCAAGTGCAAACTCAGACAATAGGCTGGAATTTTTTTTAATTTGTGGATGAGCACATGGCGAGAAGCAAGCAGCCATGATGAATTGGTTAGAGGCCTGCAATGGTCGGTATACGACTATGCAGTCTACCCCAGAAATGGATGGTCAAGCCTAGTAGACGCGAGTACCGATTTCTCGGAACAATTTTTTTAGTATGAATGCATCTCTAAACTGCGCCAGATAAGAGTCTATGCAGACTGGGCGCAGACCTAAGTAGAAGAACCTTTCAAGGAGAACTCAGGTCTTCATTTCCTCATGGAACGGAATAAAATACAGAATTGAGATAAAACCAGACATCGACGTTCCAAATGAATCTTGCAAATCCCTGTCACTTCGCATCCCTGCTCATGAATACTGTTGGTAGACCGATCGTGCAACGTGACACCCCAAATGTCGTCTAAACCTTGGTGTTCTCAGGTCGGTTTCATTTTACATTGTCAAATCTAGCATAGGTTAGTCTCGGCCGGGAATAGAGGCCCCGAGTGACCTGTGATCTTGGCTCTATGTTCTATTTTCAGCTCGAGGAAGGCTGGAACGAGTCCTTGGTGCTGCCCTAGCCTGGGGCGAATAGAAGTGAAAGCATATTCCTGCGCTCTCCTGCCTTCCGTATCTCCCCCCTTCTCTCTCCCCTCCTCCCACGTCTCTCTCTTGAAACATTTCATCACCATCGCCTACTTCATTCTAGCAGTTCCCTTCCTAGGGTGAGCATTATGAAGCCCTTTCTCTGTGTTCTTTCGTGTCTATCTGGCTGTAATAACTTAGGGTAGGCTAAGGTCCAGGCTTACGTACGGCCTGTCACTGTAACTTTAGACATTGGTTAGGTTCAACGTTTCCAGTTACCATTTATTGCGAAATTTTGCTTGTTTTCAATGCAGTTCAAAACTTTTCAGAGCCTTCCCTAGCCGCTTTTCTTCCTCTTGGGCTTAGGCTATGCATTTCCTTTTTTCTTTCATAACATGACGCCATGGCTTATGCAGGTATCTAAGGTGTAGGTTCTTGTAGACTTAGGTCTCTAAAAGTAGACAACAGACACGTTTAACTTGTACAAGAGCATAAAAGGGGGAGAGAGGTTATATAAAGGGTAGCATATCTATTAATCTTTTCATTTCCATACTGCTTGTTCCTTTGATTAAGTGAACTGGCAGCTCAAATGCTCCTGATTAAGATATCATTACCAAGCAGCTGGTTCAATCTCCTCTCCCACCCTTTTTTTGTTTTTAATTTGCTCTAGATGAGTTTTGATCGGTTAAAAAAGTCCTGTTATTGATTGTAAATTAAAAAGGAATCCCCTTGGGTACAAAGCCCTGAAAAAACTGGCATGAGGGAGTTTTCTCCTGGATATTGGGTTACCTTGAATATAACTAGTAAAAACAAATAAGTTACCCTAGTCTTTGTCATGGCATCATAAAACATGGTGCCAAAGCTGCAGAAATTTTTTAACATCTAAGTTTCACTGCTTTCCCTTTCACTGCTACACCCAGGTATACCTGTTTTGATACTTTCGGTTTTTCTTTTAATTCCCTGTGTGTCCCTTAGAGGCATTAGTGTTCCAGCATGTGCTGTCATCTATATAGACTTATTCTGAACTGCTTGCACTGACTGCTTCACTCTGAATTTAATAGAAAATTTTTTGTAGAGGGTGCCCTCACATGTTTACTCCTGCCAAAAATAGTATTGAGAAAATGGTACAGCCAACCACATCTCACGGTTGGAATCTTTCTGGTAAAGGTATTTTTGATATCTTTATGAATGATGAATTGGATGAAGAGGGTGAGTTTGTGTATGGTTTGTATGATACAAGTAGCAATAGTGATAATGAAGATGTGGCAGTGAGAAAATTTTGACCACATCCTCATTGCTGTTGAGGACATGTAATTGGACTAAAGACCAAATCTAAAGGTAAGAAAAATAAATTTAAATAATATCTCTTAATATTAAAGGTTTTATAAATTTTAAATTTTCAACAAAAAAACTCAGCAATGAAAGGGTTAGTGGATTGGTTCCAGCTGGAATTTTTTGTGCTATAGACTCATTCACTAGATGCCAAGATGATATGGTTAGGTCCATCTGAAGGTGCCTTTTTGTAAGCTTGTCATTTTCCTCTACTTTTGTTTGAGTAATGTTTAAAAAAGTAACTTATGCTGAAAAGTCAGTCACAGCCTTCAGTTATGAACTATCTGAACAGTTTCCTTGCCTCTCTGAGCCATTAATTCTCTACATCCTCTTAAGTCACCTTATTCATCTATTGACCAATTCATGGAAGAAGGCAGTATATTGACTCATCAGTTGAGTTTGTAATGGTTTAAATGGTTATGCAATAATTTAAAGTTATTTCTTGGCCTAGTGGTAATCTGTCCTTTATTCATCCAAGTGTGAAGAAGGAAGTGAAATTCTCTTAACTCTATGACTAGATTTTTGACCAGCTGCTACTTGAAAAACCGTTCAGATGATTATTAAATATTAAAAAAATTTGAATGGTGAGGTGCTGTCAAAATGTTTTCATAGTAATCCAATAAAACAAAAGCTATTTTTTTGTAACTCATTTGCCTCATTCACTTTTCAATATAGTCCCCCTGCTGCTCTTTGCAAGACTGCAATATTTTTATCTACATGAGGTAGCACTGGATGAATGTTTCTTCAGGGGTATTTTGGAACCAGTGCAAATTGACAATTCCAAGAGCACCTTGAAAGGGATAGCAGTGCTCACCTAGGGATTTCATGCTTTTTCCAAACAACCAGAAGTCACTGGGGGCTAGATCTGGAGAGTGAGGAGGATGTAGTTGCACTTCAGTCTGTTTTTATTGGAAGTTACTAACAACTTGAGCTTGGAACAACATTGATGTTCTAAGCCCCACCCAAAAAAGTTCAAGACTTAGGCTAGTGCTTCCAAGAATCACTATGCCTTTTTTTGCAACATGAAGGGCCCACTGATCATTCATAACTGATTGATTGAACTGGATTGAAATGTCGAAATATGAGTTGCAAGGTCTTTGATAGTGACTAAAAATCAAGTTGACTTGCTGAGATTTTCCTGTGATTGTTCATATAACATTAGATTGCACCTGCATTTGGTCCATATCATCAAAGTATGGTGCCATTTCAAAGGTTATCTTTGGCAATGAGTGCTATGAACAGAGTGTAGAGCACTCTGTCTTGCTTCCTCTTTAGGAATAGGAGAGTCCTGCATCCAATCTGAAGATATGGTTTCTAAAATATTGACTGTCACATTGGGTGGGAAGTGTTGGCATAGTGAGCTATGTTCTATATGCCAAGGCCTGTGGAAGATTTTGATTGGTGAATTGGGCATTACTTTCCCAATCTGCATAGTCACTCTTCAATTGTAATCTTGTCCACTGGAAAATATTGTTTTCATGATAGTTCTATCACTTTCATAAAGGAAGATGAAGTTGTTCCCTTTACATGCATACCTATATGCTTATTTTCTGGTTTGGTTCTCATCTTAATTGGAATTTTCAGGTTTAACCTATTTACTCCGACTTGCATTGATTGAATTATATCTTCAATTTCTTGAAGGTGAGAAGGGTGCAGAGAGATTTTAGTACATAGTTCAGTCTCTCTGCTGACTTGCTCTACCTTCAAGTTGTGGGAATGCCTTTCAAACTCCAGGTGTGAATCTTATTTCAAGGACAAGAACCTTCAAGAGCCCAACAAAAAATAATTGCATCCAATCCTTGACTGAATCCAGTTGTGCATTCACCATGAAGTTTACTACATATATTTTTGTGCTTGCATCAGTCATCTTGTGTCAGAGCGAACCCAAACACAGAAGGCGTCTACCTGGAACTGGACATCTTGAAGCTATTAATTTCAACTGCCCTGAAGATTTTGGATATTATGCCCATGAAACTGACTGCAGCAAGTACTATGTCTGTGTTTTTGGTGGTGCTCTGCTAGAAAGTTGCACAGGTGGTTTAGTGTATAGCGATGAGCTGCAGACCTGTGATTGGCCAAGAAATGCAGTCTGCAACAAGACCTCTGACTCAACTTTCACTACTTTTAAAATCACTGACCGCCGCACCCAGTCTCCTGTTGCTGTTACATCAGGTCAACCAGGTCTGGAAACCCCTAACAGAAATGAAATTCCCCTCGAAGAGCAACGACGCCCAAGCCCATATTTCATAGAATCCAATCAGCGTCAATTTTCCCAAGACACATACAGCTCTGCTGCAGATGGTGAAATTGGACAAAGAGGACCTAGAACATACAGGAACAGTGATCCTCGACAACTTGATGAGAGAGTTGGACGAAGCAGGGGATCTTTGGTCAATCATCAATTCTCAAGTGCTCCTTCAACACCAAGCCCCGTAGTGTCTGCAAGACCACCTCCTCATCCTGTTAGAGGAAGTACAACTGACTATGATCCCTACTACAACTACACAGATCCAAATTACTACTATGACTATTATGAAAACTATGATTACACTCTTGATGGCACAATCTCTGCAAATCAAAATTCTGGCCAGTCTCGTCCCAGTCCATCAACAACTACTCGACCAAAGACAGTTCTGGGATCGAGATTCATTAATCAATCAAAGGCGCCAACTTTGTTCACCAGTCATGACTTACGTGAGAGATTCCATACAACACTAAATGATATTAGCTCAACTCCATCCATTGAGATATTTCACTCAACCACTGCAAGACCCAATCGATTCCATGGATCAACCACATCTGAATTACCACCTCGTTTCCATTCAACCAATGCAGCACCAGCCCCAACCACTCAAGTCTCAGTGTCACGAAACAGGCGTCCTAGTGCAAAGCCTGCTTCTGCAATCCTCCAGAGATCATCATCCACTCCCATTGATATATTTCGTAGTGTACCAGCAAGACCAGCTTCATTGTATCCTCAACCACCTTATGATCAGAAGGCAACAAGGTGTACCCCTGAAGTCTGTCAGCTGCCAGATTGTTACTGTGGAGGGAGGAATGTTCCAGGTGGATATCAGCCAGAAGAAATCCCTCAAATTGTGCTGCTCACCTTTGATGATGCTGTAAATGACCTAAATAAGGAACTCTATCGGGATTTCTTTGAAAAAGGAAGAACCAACCCCAAT